AAACTCGAATTTTGGTGTGATAAACTCGAATTTTTATGTGATAAACTCGAATTTTTAAAACCGGTTCCAACCTCTATTTCTACACCAACTTTCTGAATATACATTCTACGATCCAAATAATTACAGGTATACCTATCGATGTTTAACACCAGAAGACCAATGGATAGTTCCATATTACGCTCCTACACTTATATTATGGAATACTTATATAAATATCCAATATATCACAAATAAAAGACTTGCCTATTATATAACAAAATATATTAGCAAATCAGAACCAACCTATCTTTTCAATATACAAGAACAATCATACTATCAAAAGTTTATTCATACACGGCGGATAGGTTCAATGGAACTCATATTTTTGTTACTCAGAGAACATATTATAAACTCATCAGTACAAGTACAATACTTAATATCAAATTCCCCAAATATACATTCCAAGACAGTTATTCTGCTATACATGATCGATTCACTTGATGATGATCCCTATTGGACTGATAAAATAGAAAAATATTTTGCTAGACCACACAATTTCATATTTGATAACATGACATATAAATCTTACTTCAAAATATATGATATCAAATCAACTTGTCCAACCCACTCTTTTCAAACAGTTTATCAAGATAATCTTGGGAATTTTGTTGTTGAACGCACAAATCATATTCTTACTTGTATATATCCTTACAAATAAAGCATAGTGAATTATACTTTTATCAACAACTTTACTAAAATTTCCATGCTGATCCGAAAATGAAATGTTGAGTAATTACTAAACTTACAGAGATCACTTTCTATCTCGATTCTCAAACATATCCCAATCAATACTTACACAAAATCACGAATTCATATTAAAACAAACACATGTGCTAAATCAATTCAACTCCTTTATTGAAACAATAACATCATCTTTAGAATCAATTCTAACAAAAAATATTATAGACATAATAAAAATACAATTGGATTCTATAAAAATATTACTACAAATTTCAATAATTAACCCAACAATTAACCTACCACCAACTCAATACTATTGTCGACAAACAATAGCTAATTACTTGGGACCACGAGACGGGTCTCATTATCCTTTTTTTTTATTATGGGCCCAGCAGGTACTGGTAAATCCCACATAATACATTTATTAATAGAAGATTTCAAAAAAATAGGCAAAAACTACTTATTAATAGCTCCAACCAGAATTGCCGCCCAAAACATTGGTGGTTCAACTATTCATTCCACATTACGAATTGCCTTCAACAAACGAGAATTTCACACTCTTGCATTTTATAACGATGAATTAAATAATTTTCTTCTTCAAATCGATACTCTCATTATCGATGAGGCCTCTATGATATCAGGCCAACTTCTGACATACATCTCTGAACTTTTCGAATTCCTACACAAAAACAACAATCCATTCGAAAGTATAAACGTCATCTTAGTTAGTAACTTAGTACAACTACCTCTAGTCTCCGGTTCCTCTATCTACCAATCTCCAATATGAAAACTTTTTTACCCATTATTTCTTTATGAACCTCAAAGACAAAATCAGGATATAGAATTTTTTAATCTACTACAAAAAATCTACATGAGTAAAATTGACAATGAAACATAATACCTACTAACTCAGAAAAAAAAACAATACTCTCCAATCATCTGAATTAAACACTACTCTAAACATCACACACATAGTAGGATACAGAGAAAACACAGACCTAATTAATAGATTAATATGCACTATGATTCCTACACAAAAAAACAAATTCATGATCTCAAATTGTACTAACATTGTTAACAATCAAATATGTGATGATAACTTAAGACTTAATGATTTCAAAAACAAAACAAATTTACCTGAATCAATTAGAATCCAACCAGTGCAAGAGTCATGTTTCTCAATAACTCCCAATACCAATATCGAATAGCAAACAGCATTATAGATGTCATTACAGACCTCGACCTAGACTCAGATTTTGTATATGTTAGCTTCTGCATAGAAGGAGCCATAATAAACATTTCATTTTCTAAATTTACCTGTAATTTTAACATAAATGGCATACCTGCTAGCTGTACCCAATTCCCAATACAAAACGCATTCACCTTAACTGTCTATAAGACACAGGGGCTCACACTTCCTGATATATCATCAAATCTAGATGATCAAATATTCACACCTGGACAAGCTTATATAGCGCTAAGTCATTGCACTAAATGAGACCAAGTAAAAATACAATCATTAGATCATACCACATTTATAACAAACCAATTCATGATAAAATAATATGAACGTTTAGAACAAAAAGCCCATGAACCATTACCATCAAATAGACCAAGCTCAGATTTTTTTTAGCAAAAAAAAAATTTTTAAATTAAAAACATACATATAAACATTTCACTATATAATACATAAAATAAAAACAATTACTTCATAAAAATAAAATTAATAAAATTTCAAATTTATATATACCCTATCGCTATACATATTAAAATTGTATCAACGTCATAATTACATATATGTAAATAACCACTTAAATCGGGCGGCGCAGCCGCCCGCATGTGCAGCTCTAGTTTACATGTAAAAAGGTTAGGGTGGGGTGGTTTAATGTGTAACACCCATTAAAAAATCATTGATCGACGATTAAACCAGAAATTTCAAGTCAGGTTTTTTTTAAGATTCGTTTCCTTCTTAATCTCTCAATATTTTTCGATCTTTTTATAGAAAGAATAATTCCCACCCCTGAAACGTGAGAAAATTATTGTTAGGAAGTCAAAAATTTTGCATAACTTATATTGTAATGTTTTTTATTTTAAATTTTATTAATTGTTATTATGACTTCGTCTGTTGTAGATAAAGAAACTGTTCGAAAAGTGTTGAATCATATTAACATTACGCTTTCAGAAGTTAGGTGAGAATTCACTAAGTAAATTTCTAGTCGTTATGTATCTGAAGTTACGCTGCCACTAGGGGGACTGCGGAGAACTGGAAGCGCATCGTGGCCACAGGTGTGCCTGTGAACGTCCTTCTCCGTTATGTCTTACCGAAAGCTCGATCTAGCCCTGCGCGGAAGTTGTGGTGAATAGGATGCATTGATAATGATGACATTTACTTATTTTTTTCTCTTATTCCAGACACAATGAATATATAAATTTGTTTGGAGCTTATAACGACGATTTTATCTTGGTATATTGCAAAGATCAGATTACGGTCGGTAATATTAAACTATTTGAAAAAATAGTTGAATGTTATCCACAAAATACTGTGGGTATTATTGTGACGTCTCAAAAAGGATACTCAATCAGTAGTTCGAAACGTGCAAAGTCTCAAAAGTCTTCACCTAATATTGTATTTACGAGTATTAATGAAATGGCAACTGATATTCCAGCATACTTTTTATTAAGAAAAGGTCATCAAAGTAAAAGTAATAATCTTATTATAGAAAAATTGGAAAAATTTGAAAGGATTATGGAAATTTTTTTAATCTTGTTAATTTTTTTATTGCTGACGTTGGGATATTCAATCAGGTAATTATTTACAAAATTCTTAAAATATTATTATTTATACTTAATATGCATAATTCTTAATAATTTATCACAATATAGGTCAGATATTTCTTCAATATTCGATGTTTTGCACAGGCTTATTTTGCAATTATTAAACGTATCCATGTTTGGTAAATAATTATACTAAGCTCCTCATTTAATGCATCCAAAAAAGTTCAGAATATTGTACAGTCGACTCTGGATATAACGAACCTTTTTATAACGAACACACTATATAATGAACTTTTTTTTCAAATTTAATATAAGTTCGGTATATAAAATATAGTAAATTACTATATAACGAACTTTTAAAAATTTTTACTATAAGACTCGTCAGTTCGTTATAAACAGAGTTGACTGTACATTAAAAAATTAACATTTTTTACTGCGGACTTGTTTTGCACTGAAAAGTTATAATAGATATCATAAAGTTTTTTACAAATTCTCTTTAGGTTTTTTTTTTTAAAGAAACGGTATTCAAACTAAAAGAAATAAAGTTTACCTTTAAACTTTTTCATCATAATATATTTTGTTTAGAAATATAATTAAATTTTTTAATTTCATCAAATATTGACCAAAAATACATATACTATTGTCACGCAGTAAATGCGATTTTTAGGATAAAATACACCCACGATATATTCTAAAAATATTGCAATATTTGCAAATTGAACAAAAGTTCTTTAATATTGTTAAATCTTTTAATTGCGAATAGAAAATTGGTATTCAATTTAATAACAATGTTTACTTTCTATTTTCATAAAACCAAGTGAAAAAAAACTTGTTTCTGAACTTCAATGTATTCAAAAATGCGATACTATTGCATTATTAATAAAAATCTTGTTATCTACATAATTAATAAATTTAAGTCGTGGAATTTTTTTAGCCAATCAGAATGGTTTGAAATGATACAGAAAACACGTGATTATTTATTATGCCAATCAAATTTATTAAAAACATGTGACTATTAGGCCATGCAAAATTAAATAATTGGTTTTCATAACCCGGCCGGGTCAAAATTTGAAAACTTCTAAAAAAAATTTTTA